GATAAAAAAAGAGCTTTCAGTTTTCTTGACTCTAGCCAGTGGTTAGAATATCCTTAACAAAAGAAACCAAATTTAGATTTTGATAGAGAGCTGCCAGATTAAATATTCTGGATAGTGCTTCTGCCCACACAGAACCAGTGACCTCCATTAGGACTCATTCTGACTCTAACATCAAGCCAGAAAGTGGGAAGGCACAAAGGAGCCAGTCATGAATTCTGTGCTGTGGCACAGGAGAGAGGTGGCAGTCTTGCAAGATACTGTGGAGTTTAACTACATCCTTCTTTAGCACTAAACTTAAAATAAATTCAAGATCTAGCACACACTTCCCCATCAGAAGACAGATTAAAAAAGCAACTCTTGCATCAAAGTAACATTTTCTTCCGTACTGTGAAGCATTCTTACTTTCAATGTCGCACAAGCTGTGTAGCAAACAGTTGGCAAAATCTCTATAGGCTCTTTGAACATAACTCTGAAGGTACTGGCTGTTCCATCACAGCTAAATCCAGTATCGTTTTGTCCTAGCGTTTGATTCTTCTCATAATCAATTATCTGGACAAAAAAATGAAAATTGTATTTTTAGGTTTACAAGCTTGAGAAAGATTATTCTTGTATGCATCTTGGAAGATTACAAGCAAACACTTGCCTACTCCACCCAATTTAATTGCCAGGATAGTGCAATCTCAGAACTGGAAAGTACGTGTCATTTCCCGATACCATTAGGGCTGACCCAGCAGCGTGCTGAGCGATGGCTTGCAGGTTTTACACAGGCTGTCCAATGTGGGGGCTAGATTCAACACTGCTCCAGCCAAGCTACATGCTTGGGAGATGAAGAACAGCTCTTAGACCTTCAGCTTCTGACCTTCCTACACTACATATAATCCTGTACTTAGATTTGCTGATCTTCGTACACCTACACAGCCCACACGCACCCGAGGGAACCGTATTTGCTGGCTGTGGCTAATTTAGAAAAGAAGTTTTTACAGATCATGTGAATAGTCAATGAACACGTTCTTAAAAGAAAATAAGAACTTGTGCTGCTATGTTTTACACAATTTATTTCTATTCTAGAGTCAGTATAAAAATTACACTCAGACTACATATTATTTCTTTTGCCTTCTATTTTATTGGTGAACAGGAATCACTAGCTAAAATGTTGTAATAGCAAGTACCTCGCTTCTTTTGGATAGCAATCCTGATCCTTGCTGCCAAACACCTCTTGCAGAAGTTGAATATCAAAGCTTTAGAGTAACATGAAAACTTCTCATAATTACTGCACTAACAAGAATCCTATAGTTTTTAATATTTTATTATTACATTTCTATAAAAAGTTTAATATTGCACAAATGAAATGAAGCCCTATTCTAGGCAAAATGTGCTCTAATTTTTTCCCCAGCCACAATCAATAGAAATATTAATAATTATAATGCTGAAGTCCTAAGCCCCTTTCAAATAAAAGGTGTGTTTGCAGTATACGCTATCACTATTTTAAGACAAGTATTAAAAGTTTAACTCTGAAGCTCTGGTAGTACTGATGCAGGTCCAAGAAGAAAGGTAGAGACATGGGACTTAAGTACCTGTCTGAAAAGATTGTGACAAGAAAGTTTCAGTGTCATCAGGAATTTGGGATACTTTCAGAATAAGGAGAACCTGTCTAAGATGGATGGCCTTCACCTGAACCATGAAGGTACATTAGCCTTTCAGTTTGGATCAGGAGCATGTTTTTCAAGTGAATCTCTTCATCATTCCCACTTAATATGCTTTGGTTTGTCTTGCAGAACTAAATTCTCTCTCAGATAAAATAAATCCAGCAAACATGCTGAGGAAGCACACCAAGTGCTCTCATCTGCTAACAGGAATTTAACCAAGACGCTCAAAGAAGAGTTAATGCAAAATAAAAATCCACAAATATGCATAGTACAGCTGCTAGGTCCTCAGTATCAACTGTTCTAAAGATCCAGTCTAGTGCACGATGCTACTCATTTACATAGAGGTATCATTTGAGAAAACCAAACTGATGGCACTTCGAATCGAGGAATTTGCAAGTGAGCTTTTAAACTAGGGAAAGTGGAAAACCCAACAAATTCCTTCAAAACCTCATTCCAGATACATTCTGTTTGGAACATCATAAGAGGAAAGGCACAACATGTTTTTCTTAAGAGACAGAAACAAAATTCCTGTCCCTAAGGACAGGATGGTCAGAGAATAGTAATCATCAAATAGGAAACAGAAGACAAATAAACTTTGTTTAAATAGGATGCTCAGAAATGAACTGAAACAGCAGCTCCAGCACATGCTAGAAGCCTACAAAATAAGATAAAGACAATGGAATTTCTGTCCCTAAATGAAGTCACAGATTCTTTCTTTCCCACACACTTAATGAATCAATGTGATGTGACAGTACCAGGTTACACAATACATAGCACAGAGTAAAACTGTGCCCGTCACGGAATGCTAATACCTTGTTATAATACTTAGAATCAAATCAAAACTAATCTCAATAAGGAAGAGAATCCAAATGGACTGATAGTCCACACTTAAAAAGGAAAAAATATAGGGCCAGATCAATATTACTACAACGCCAGCCCGACCACAACATGCTAAGAGAGACTGAACAGGCTGCAAGAGCAAGAAATACAATTTTAATGGTGTCTTCAATTACCTGCTCAGACTGGGCAAGTGTCAAATCAGGACATGAAGCAGGGGTGACATTTTTAGATGCTATCACTGACCATTTCATGAGCTTGCTAACCAATTGCTCAGTAGGAAGAAACGCAACCCTTGATTTGGTACCGAGTGATGAGCAGGATCAGATTCAAAATTTCATGATGGAAACGCTATGTAATAGCGACCACAATACACTTAAATTCAACACTCCCCTGTGAACAACAAAAGCAAACCCTCCACAGCTGTGCTAAATTTCAAAAAGAGAAAAAAATGAGGAAGCTTGTTCAAAAGAAGCCAAAAGGAGCAATTAAGAAATTCAAATCCTTATAAGTATGCAGACCACTGAAGGACATGACACGCCCAAGTACAGTATCTGTACATATCACCTACTATGAAAGGCTTGAGAAAAGGGGAAAAAAAAGCTGGCAAGGCTGATCAGCAAAAGGCTATTACTGGAAACAAACAAAAAAGGGAATCCTATAGAAACATGAAGTGGTATCTAGATTAAAATAGAAAAGTTCAAACCGACAGATTAAAACGTAAAAACACAATTAAGCAGGCCAAAAGAAGGTTTAGGAGGAGCTATCTGAAAGCATCAAAACGAATGTTAAATCATTCTTTCAACACGACAGTAGCAAAAAGCCCTATAGACACTCTGGTGGGCTAAACAGTATGAAGATATAAAACGAGTAGCAGCAGGATAAAGTCTTCACACAGGAACCTGGAGAACAGCAATACAAATAAATCATTTACCAGCAGAAGAAACCAGAGAGATTCCCATGCTGAGACAACGTTTTCAGCAAACCGAAAACTGAAGTAACTTTACAGAAGAAATGATGGTAACAGTAACATACAACCTTCTGCCTAAGACTGAATCAGCAGCAAGTAAGATGTCAGTCTTTCCAAAAAGCTCTGGGCAAGGACAAGCCTGTAAGCCCCAATATGTAATAAATACCCAATCAGGTCAGACAAATGTCCAATATGCTCCGACAGTGGGAAGAGAAGATGTTGCTGAGGGTTAGTACACAAGTCTGGGCTCTGCTGTCTGTTCCCCCAGCATCCACAACTGTTCTACTAAGGGTGCTACAGTCCACATCTCCCCCTTTCTTTCTTCTGGAATGGTCTATTGGATCTGCTATTCATGTATGAACATGTTCATACATACCAAATTCAAAACAGGTTATCTGCTTCTTGTGGCAGTATGTTTAATATCCTCTCCTTTGAAAAAATACTCTCACCTGGTTTTTGATCCGCTAGTTCTAATATTCTGGGGTTTGACGAGTAACAAACAGTTCTGCATTTACCTTATCTATTGCCCTCATGATTTGAGAAGCATCGCTCACGCCTCCCCATAGCCTTCTCCCCTACAAACTGAAGAGTCCTAGCCTTTTTGGTCTCCCTTCACAAAGCAGCAGCTCTATCCCCTTAACCATTTTAATTACCCTTTTCTGTACCTTCTAATTCTACTGTGTGACACTGGGAACTGCATACAATATTCAAGATGTGGGCATACCTGGCTTTCATACAGCAACACAATGTCACCTTTTATCTTGTTTTCAGTATCTTCCTGATGACACAGTGGGCTTTTTTAGCAGTCATTACATGTGTTACTGATTTCAGAGAGCTGTTGATGACAAATCCAAGATCTCTTTCCTGAATTACTAGAAACTTTATTAAAGGACAGACTTTGTGCACGACTCAACAGATTACAAAGCAATGAAATTCCTCTGCAGAAAGCTTACAGGAGTTCAAGGTTAGACTGGACAAGTATCCTGAAGAAACATTCACCAGGAGCTACTAAACAGAGAAACCAAATCAGTATCGGGAAAACGCCTATACTGAAAATGATTGAAGGACAGGAAGATACAGCAAAAAGGGAGAAGAGTTTCATATTGTTCTTTCTTTTCCCTAGTCATCCTCTTATGATCACTACTGGGGACAAAACACAGGTTAGATTCCCAGCCTATCAATTGCTCCTACCCAAATACACACCAAACCTTTTGCAAGTACTACCAGTGTAGTTTCTGCATAAACTTATTTAAACAGAATATACCGTACCTGTATATTAACTTGATAGTCTGTGGGTCCATGAATAGATCCATATAATCCAAATCCCACTATGGAAATTCTTCTATTAACTGTGAACCTAGCAAGACACAAGCCAAGAAAGGAATCTAAACAACTGTGATGGGTGTGTTACCTTATTCCCAGTCAAGCAGGAAAAAGAGTCCCACTGAAGAGTAGGGGAATCAACTTAAAATTACTTTTTTTTCCCCCAATAACACTTTCTATTTAGATTTCAACAGTAAGAAAACTGGTTTGTAAGGTATCAGCTTTATAGCTTAAAGCTTTGATAATCCCAAGATATTCAGTATCACTAACCAAAAATAACCAGATTCTTTTGAGTATCTCCAAAGTAAAAACAGATCAAGACCCAGTATTTTAAGAAGGAATATGCAGCTAACACCCAGTCACCCTAGAATGCACCCAATCCACCTGACCTTTGCTCTTTGCCAGTTTGAACTTTATGTGTGTGACTGCCTAAGTTATTTTTAAAAAAGGGAAAGATCAAACATGCCCAAACAGAACCAGCATGTTCGTTACTGTATCTTATGCTAAAAAGTCAAAGTTGAGCAATATGTTCCCTTTCTTCCCACACTTCTTCTCTCCTCCAAGCAGTTTCAAAAGCCATACCTGATCCGATCACTTGTTCCACTGTAGCCCCAGCGACTCTCTACTTGCTGGAACCTGTTAATGCTGCATTCTTTTCCTCTAAGGCAACATCTTGGTCGGTCAATATAATCCACTTTAGGTTTAGGATTGACAGTAAAATGCAGAAAGAGATTTACTACTTCCCGATCTGATAAGATTCCAGACTGAGCAGGGCCTGTGAAGAGAGAAAATTTCCAAGATGATTCAAAGAATTATTCTAACTGTTGCATTTAAATCACATATATTCACAAACTGAAGACGACAATAGCATTTTCCAACAGCCAGAGCATACTCTACAGAATGTTTTGCTTTCATTTGTGCATCACAACTTATTAGTGTGATATTAATAACAGAATAGTGTCAAGCATCTAAATACTCACAGGTGAACACTGCAAAGATATGGGCTAACAGTAAGACAAAGAACTCTGAAACTCACCTGCTGCAAACTCTTCAATAGTCATTAATGGAAAACGGATTAAGGAAAGAGCTCTTCCAAGGACTTTTTGTTTGTTTCCAAATGTCACAGGCAGTTGCTGTCTTTGACATTCTGCTTCTGCCCAGCGAACAACAGCTCCAAAGAGTCTACTTTCTCGAATACTAAGGGTATCTCTTTCTAGAACTGCACATAATGTGTCTAAAGAAAACAGGAAGTTAACAGATTTAGATCAGTTTTCATCCAAACCAGTAACACTGCCACACACTAAGTAAGCTTAAAATGTTACATAAACACTGAGAACATCCATAACAAGACATCAAAGATAAGACAAATTATCTTATGTATAAGGAAATCTCCCAATGGTGTATAGACTCCAAACTAAAAAAATTGGTTTTCCTGCTATGAAGACAGCATATGAACTTCCTTCTTGATTCCTAGAAGTGTGACTGCATACAACCTATGTAGTGACAACCAATATCCTAAAGAATTCCCATGGTTAGGGCAAAATCAAAACTGGAAGAGACCAAGCAGTGAATGCACATTACTGAAAAACCAAGTTATTCATGATGATTGTCACATTCTCATCTGGGTAGCCACCTGGCAATCAGGATCAACTACAGACACAAGCAGCAGTGCTGCACACAACACCAGTTTAAAGACACATGAAAGTGATCTTAAACACTGACGTATGTGCCACCCGCAAGGCTTGAAGGTGGAACACAGGATGTCAGCTGAGGTACTCTCAGGTGTTTTACAAAAGCAAGTTTTCCTGTATTTCTTACTTGCTCTGGCATTTTATGAATAACAGGTATGCAAAAATCATCATAGAACACAAGCCTGAAAACAGAAGTGTTTTCATATTCTGAATTTTGTGTCTTCTTCAGGAACTTTTATTATATGCCCTGAATTTAAGCAAGGCATGTTTGCGGCCATAGATAATATCACACTGGAAAGTCAGAACAGATTGAGATTCACCGAGTAGAGATGAACACTCACAGTTTGGGTACAAATCCCACTGAACACGAGTTAACAATGACTTTACAGTTTCTTTAAGCAGCTAGAATACCTTTCTTCAGTCTGAGTTTTTCACACAGTCTAGCTGAATTGGAGTAAAATCTTAGACACATACAGTAGCAATGAAAGTAAGTAAGCAAATTTACAACTGCTAGCTTTTCATAAAAAATGAATCAGAAAACAGCAGTTTGGATTTTTTTTTTT